TTCCACCTTCCATACAACCACATATTACATCTCCACATGTCCCCTCTAGTCCCACACGTGTTGCCTCATGCCCTCCCTTGCCTCCTACCTTACCTACCCATGCTCACCCATCTGGTTCTACTTGTTCACCACATGTGCCGAGCAGTCCAGTTGTTGCTGCTTCTTTGCCACCTACTCATGATGTCTCTAGCCATGCAAGTACTTCTTTTGCTACTGCTCCTGTTGATGCTCCTACTGTTCCGTGCAGTTCCGTTGAAGCTCCTGCTGTTGGGTCCTCTACTTCTTCCACCGCCACTTCATCTTCCAGTCATGCCGTGAGTCATGGTGGTCGAACTCATACCATGGTTACTAGGTCCCAAGATGGCACCCGTAAGATTCGTGTGCTGCCTTCCTTGCTTGCTACTGATTATGCCTTGCACGAGCCGAAAACTTTTAAGGAAGCAAGTGAAGATCCAAACTGGTGCACAGCTATGGCCGAAGAATTTTCAGCTCTTCTCCGCAATAATACTTGGAGTTTGGTTCCATGTCCCCCTGATGCTAATGTTGTTGGATCGAAATGGGTCTATCGTATTAAACAGAAGGTGGATGGTAGTGTTGAAAGATTGAAGGCCCGTCTTGTTGCTCAAGGTTACACTCAACAACCCGGTATTGATTATGATGAAACATTTAGTCCTGTTGTCAAGCCTATTACTATTCGGGTTGTGCTTTCTCTTGCAGTAATGCGTTCTTGGCCTATTCATCAACTTGATGTCAAGAATGCTTTTCTTAATGGTACTTTGTCTGAAACTGTTTACATGTCTCAGCCGCCTGGTTTTATTGATTCCGCTCATCCAGATTATGTTTGTAAGTTACATCGAGCACTTTATGGCTTGAAACAGGCTCCTCGGGCATGGTTTCACAGGTTTACCTCTTTTCTCCTCTCTTGTGGCTTTATTTAGGCTAAGTCTGATTGGTCCTTGTTTGTGTTCCGCAAAGGTGACTTGATGGCTTATCTTCTTCTTTATGTGGATGATATTATTCTCACTACTTCGTCTTTGTCCTTGTTGGCTAAAATTATTTCCCTACTGTAATCTGAATTTCGGATGATTGATTTGGGCTCTCTAAATTATTTTCTTGGCATTAGTGCTCATTTTAATGCTACTGGCTTGTTCTTATCTCAATCTAAATATGTTGCTGACTTGCTTGCTAAGAGTGGTATGCATGATTGTAAGCCTGCCTCCACACCGTTGAGTTCGAAGATGAAATTAATGGTTGATGATGGTGCTTTGTATCATGATCCCTCTTTGTATCATAGTCTTGTTGGTGCTCTGCATTACCTTACCTTTACTCGGCCTGATATTGCTTTTGCGGTGGGCCAAGTTTGTCAATTTATGCATAAGCCTACTACTTCTCATTTTCAAGCTGTCAAACGGATCTTACGATACTTAAAGGGCACCATGGATTATGGTTTACAACTATATCATCATTCTTTGCTTTCTTTGCATATGTTCACAGATGCAGATTGGGCAGGTTGTGTTGATACTCGCCAATCTGTTTCTAGCTATTGTCTTTTTCTGGGCAATTCTCTTATTTCTTGGTCATCTAAGAAACAACACACGGTTGCTCGTTCTAGTGCAGAAGCCGAGTATCGTGCTCTTGCCAATGCTACTGCTGAGGTCTTATGGGTTCGTCAGTTACTTTTTGAGCTTTATACCTTTCTTCCTACAGCACCGGTGCTATTTTGTGATAATCTTAGTGCTATCTATCTTTCTCTTAATCCCATTCAGCATCAGCGCTCTAAGCATATTGAGATTGACATTCATTTTGTGAGAGAGAAGATTGCTTATGGGATTTTGTCTATTCGTCATGTTTCTTCATATTTTCAACGTGCTGATGTCTTAACCAAGGCTCTTTCTATGCCTTTGTTTCATACTCAGAGGGCCAATTTGAACGTGATTTGAATGCCCGCTCAAATTGAGGGGGGATGATAATGTATATATTATAGTTGTATACTTGTAAAGGGTAGTTAGGGTATTTCCTACAATATACCACATGTATAAATACTCTTTTACAATAATGAAAACCATAGAGAGGCATTATCTTCTACAATTATATACTCACTGAGGAGGATGATGCAGCGGTCGAGATCCACCACCATTCACAGCTGCGTTCAGTACGGTGATCTTCTTGCCTTCCAGAAACTACTCCTAGAAAATCCTTCTCTTCTCAACGAGAGAAATGCCGTTGTAAGATTCCCTTCTTTTCTTTCATGCATTAATGCCCATTTTGAAGAAATCCATCCCCATGAATAGAAATGCACCCTTTACATTTTTTTTGATCGAAGGAACTTCTCTAAAATTTTTTTCGATGTTTCCTATTTTTATGAATTTTGATTGCCATGAGCTATAAATAACTCCGCGGGTGTGCTGGATTAAGCGATGGGAACATAACATAAAAAAATTTAATGAATTTTGGTATTGATTTTCAAATTCAAAAGCTATAATTGGGGAAGAATGATTTATTTATTAAAGTTTTCCTTTTGCAAATGAATTCAATAGGGTAGTGGCACCACTTATGTGTTCGCTTTAACTTGGTTTTAAGTGCAGATGTCACAGACACCAGTTCATGTTTCTGCGGCTTATAATAGGTCTGACATAATCAATTTTTTGTTTAATTGGTAAGCACCAGTAAAGCTTGATCGAGTTGGAAGCTAAGAACATGGTAGGTCAACAATTTTTTTGTTATCCTATACTTTCTAAGCTGCTATGTAATACCCAAGGATTTCTTACTTAAAATTTAAATAAATTATTTAAGCTCTTAAAGGGTGTATATGTGATAGAATTAAATTTGGGGTTGAAATTATAATGATGTAAGGAACTCAGGGACTAGAACCTTATAATTAAAGCTTAGGGACCAATTAACAATATTTCCTTTTTGTAAAA